AGGATTGTCGGCACTTGGTAGTTTGATGTCTGGAGGTGCTAGTGTGTATAATGCGGTTCAAAATTAAAAAAGAAAAAAAGGTAGTGGTTTGAATTCAAACAAGATTAGGTTAAAAAAAAACTGATGATTACGCTACCTGACAGACCGCTTTTGTCTCAAGATATTATAAAATATGTTGAAAATCAATCATTTCCGTGGAGTCTTTTCACGTGATAACTTACCTAAAAAACCACATACGGTTGAATGTGGTATATTGAACTTGGATATATCTTCAGGCGACGGAAGTCATTGGGTATCGTTTTATAAAAATTAGGACAAAGTTGTATATATTGATAGCTTTGGTGATTTACCCCCACCAATTGAATTACAACATTATTTCAGACAGTTCAAAATAGTATATAACTATTCCAACTATCAAGACTTCAATACATTTAACTGTGGTCATTTATATCTTGAATTTTTACAATGCATGAATCTATTACATTAAGTTTGACTGGAAATTCAACTGTATTATCTGTAAATTATTTTCCGCCTATAAACCTTTACGATGACTCAGAAATAGCTTTGTTATGTTTACAGTCATTTAATTCATTCCCAAATATTAATGAAAATAATAATACATTTTCTATACAAGTAGTTGATAATGAAAACAATAATGATCCTATGATATGTTTTATTACATTGGAAGAGGGTTGTTATGAAATTGAAGATATTAAGGATCGAGTTAAGAAGCAAATAGTTGCCTATAATAGTAAAAACTTAACCAATTTAATATTCGACATTACGGTTGATCCTGATGATTTCAGATCGTATATAAAATGTAATGGAATACTACACTTTGAATATCCATATAGTATAGCACCTGTATTCGGTTTTGAAAAACGAGTATATGTATAAGCCATACTCTGAAATTCTTCGATCGGAAAAAGCTGTAAATTTAAACACAATTAATTCTATAAAAGTAATGTGTAATATAGCTCAAGGATCATTTAGCAACCATCTTCAGAGTCATTCGATTTATGAGTTTTTCAAGAGTGGAAAGACAGGGTCGAAAGTAATTCAGGCACCGCCAAATTTAATATATTACAAATTTGAATAAAACAAATATTGATTCGATAACCGTTCAGTTAGTTGATCAAGATCATAATCCGATTGATAATTTTGGTGAAGCATTGACAATCGTGTTACATATTAAACGTTACGGCTCTTGAGATGGGATTAAAATTCAATATAAACCCACTGCTTCAGATCAGTACAACTAGTCATAAGACTAAAGTGCTAGCAGTAACATCAAATAAAATAAAAAAATTGACGGTGAAGAATAAAAAAAAATTACAAGCTCTGGGTTTTCAATTAAAGTAGAATGCCTGAAAGTGATATTTTGGATATAACTTCACAGTACGAGACGGATTCTAAAATTACGAAAATTGAATATCATTCATACACACCGTATACAACATCATTTAATAATAATGATGAAATACGTATATCAATCCAGCAAACGGATGTTTATCCATATCTACACGAAAGCTTTATTTTTTTAGGAGGAACAATTACTGATGCTACCAAAGTGAAACTATCTAATAACGGTTACTCTTACCTCTTGGTAAATTGGGATTAATATTAACCCGAAGTCATAGTGATTTAAATGCTTTACAAGTTAAAAGTAGTGCAACTGCTACTGAAGGTAAAGTCACCTTAAATAAAATAGTCTGGAAGGTTCCACATATAACGGTTGACGATGAAGAAAGGTTGAAATTATTGAAACTTATAGAAAAAGAAAAAAGTTTGTTTATTCCTCTTAGATCTTTTGAAACTTTTGAATATCCTGAACTCGGAACCACTAAAAAAGTTGTGTGGAATTTGAAAACTGCTTCAAAATTAGAAAAACCACGATTCATCATAATTGGATTACAGAAAGGACGCAAAAATGTGTTATCAAAAGATTGTAGTTTATTCGATCATTGTAATCTAACAAACGTTAAAGTATTTCTGAACTCGATAGCTTATCCATACGATAATTTGAATTTAGATTTTTCGAAAAATAATTTCTTCTTATTGTATAATATGTATACATCGTTTCAAGAATCGTACTATGAAAAAAGTATTCGTAACCTGATATTGAGTCCTTCTACTTTTTTAGCAAACGCACCAATTATAGTTATCGACACTTCAAAACAGAACGATTCAGCCACAGCCTCAGCAGTGGATGTTCAATTGGAAATCGAAGCTTCAGATTCGCTTACAGGTGTGACTGCTTATTGTTTATTAATTCATGATCGTATTGTAGAATATGTACCTTTTACTAGAGAAGTAAGAAAACTTGTGTAAATATATTTTAGAATTAATTTACAATAATAAAAAATCTATTATTTCATAACTTGTGTTCTGTATTTTAAATAATTATTTCATTTTAGTAATAAGGTTTGTTGAGAAAAAAACATTTAGTGTGTACACTGTAAATATTTGGACAAAACTGACTTTGAGTGTGCAAACTCTTCATAATTTTTACACGGTAAAATTATTGTGTCCAAGCGGAACATCTTCCCTTGAACGGTGTGAAATTACCGTGTAAAAAGTGTGTAAATTCTTCATAATTTTTACACGGTAAAATTATTGTGTCCAAGCGGGACATCCTCCCTTGAACGTTGTGAAATTACCGTGGTGACACAAAAAAAAGACTGTGAACATACAAATCTATACTACTATCTTATGTATCCAAACACTCATCTATTTAATTTCTTAAACAATATTGAAGATTCTTTTATAAAACATTGCCAAGACTATGATGTTTTTCTGAAAGTAATAGATAAAATCACAAGTTATAATTTTGGTTATAATGTCTCAATGTGTTATATTTATTTCAATTAGTACAGTTGCATAAGTAGTCATTTTTGTATTCAATGTATTTGATGTATTTGATGTATGGTTATTAAATATTGAAACTGTACCAACACATGCCAATCTCCAATTAATAATCTTACAAATATTAATTTTATTATATCAAGTAGCAATTTAAGGTCACATAATATTATGCCTATCTAACCTACTAAAATATATCTAATTACATAATTATTTTATCAAGAAAAGTAATAGAAATTTTTTGTATTATTATAGTTTTGGATTATTTTTATTTTAGTATTAACATTTAAGTACAAAAACATAATAACCAAAATTTCAAAAAATTTTAACTTGAGTTATTTTTAAATATCTGAAGAAAGTTAGTTTTTTGATTTTTCAACTGTCAATTAAACTAGTTAAGTTCATAAGTTGATTAGAAAATTAACTAACTAGTTAAATTAAAAAGTTTAAAAATATATAACTTTATAACATAACTTTAATTTTTTAACTAGTTAATTCCCAGTTTTATACACTAAATGCATCGTGATACTTTTTTTTTAGTATCTTGCCCAACCCAGCTTATAATGCTACGAGGGACTAAAATGATTTGTTAAATATTAAAATAACAAAATATATAAAATAGGTATCTTTTCTATTAATTACATGTTCCTTTTGACGTTTAAAATATTACATAAGATATGTACTCTATTACTCTATTCTATTTAAATATATTTCTAATTGATTATTGACTATTGTTTCAAGTAAACATGGAATTTGAATGGACAGAAGACATCATTTTGGACCTTATAGATGAGGTGAAAGAACACTCTTGTCTATGGGACCCGAAAAATAAAGATAAAAAAGTGAAGAAAAATGTATGCATTTCAAAACATTGCTAAAAAATGTGGAACAACTGCTGATATTGTTAGCAAAAAATTATCTAGCTTGCTACAAAGCTACAGAGGATGCCGTCGCAAAGTAAAAAGTACTATGGTGACAGGGTCGGGAAGAAGTTACATATATTGATATATATTCCATCCTGGTTTGCATATGATTCATTAAATCAGTTCATGCAAAATGTATAAGAAGTACAGTAGTACCATTCCTGGGACAGCTCCATTTTATATCAATAAAAGATCACAAAGAAAACAATGGGCAAAAAGATCAGAAAATTGAAATGCAATAATAATTAAAATATTTTTTGCAAAACTTATGAAATGCAATAATAATAAAAATATTTTTCGCAAAACTTAATTATTAATAATTAAAATCGAAATGCAATAATAATCAAAATATTTTTTAATAGAATTGTTCTATTAAAAATAAAAATCGAAATGCAATAATAATTAAAATATTTTTCTAATCTTTTTGATTTTGATTTCTAATTAGTATATTGAGATGGTTTACAAAATCATTTCTATCTATATTTATTTTATAATGTCCCCAAGCTAATGTATCAATACCATTTTCCAAAATAAATCTTTTATCATCATAAACACTTAAAGCTTTTTTGTTTTGTTCTACAGTAAAAATATCATGTTTCTTAGTTCTAAATAAATTTTGTTTAACATATTTTGATTTTTTTGTTAGTAAACAATTTTCAAAATCATTAAAACATATTTTATTTTCTACAACATTTTTTTTAACACCTTTAGCTTTTTTAATTTCTTTTTCAGTATCTAAGACTCGATGTGAATATAATTTAGATCTTAAACCTATAAATTCAGTCATTATTTTTCTATTTAACTCATCTTTAAACTTGCCTAAAACTTTTTTGTTAACTAAAGGTAAACCATAAATATTATCTTTTGGATAATCTGAAGTGTCAAAATGATCTAACATAATTTTCATATCTTGATAAAAATCATTAGTTTTTATTTCTAATATTAGTGAATCTGTATCTGTATATAACAATCTAACTCTATTTCCATATTTTTTCTTTATAATATTATAATAAAAATCGTACATTAACATTTTAGATAAATCTAAAAACGCATTCCTATATAATTTGGTCACCGTTTACCAAGCGAAGTGGAACTCTACTTGTAATAAATACAGCCGAATCACTGGCTTCGGGACTACAAAAAGCTTGTTTATATGAACTATGTCCAGAGCTGCCATCAAAGCCCCATTTTGAATAAAAAACGAACTTATCTAATTTATTTTCTCGGAGTAAGACAATAACAGGCTTTTGCACTAAAAAAAAATTGTTCTACTGTGTGATCAAGTAATGCTTGTAAAGAAACTTCTGCGTTTGTAGAAGTTACTTGTATGTTTTCTGGTTTTGAATAACACTGTTTTTTACTTTCATGTACGACTTTGTATGATGGAAATGTATCTGGGGCACTCGTCCAAATAATATTGTACTGATGTCTAGATAGCTTTGTATCTACTATAACAGCTAGAGCATCTTCACCCGATAATTTTTTAGGTGCTTGTGCAGACTGCTTCTTAAATACTTTTCTATATCTACTTGCACGTGTGGGAGTGGATGTAGTTATTTCCTTCAGTAACTTTGCGACTTCAACTTGTCCCGATGCTCTTAAGCTCATCTGTGTTGCATGACTTAACACATTAACAGACGTATTATTTCTCAGTTCTTGAGTTATTTTCCGCTTGTTTCGTTCACTACTCATCTCAAATGCCACTACTGGACGACCACGATTATTCTGGTTATTTAAAGATACAAATTTAATAGAAGCATTTAACCAGTTTTTATTTTCTACAATAAATCGTTCTTCCACTCTATGTGCCTTTTCCCAACGAGATTTATATTCAGAATTGAAATAAGACAATTTTTTTTTAAAATCATTATTTTGCTCACAGTTTTTCACTCGTTTTTCTATTTCGATTTTTATCAAATTAAATTTTTTATCAATAGTCTCACATCCAGAACTTTTAATTATATCATATAATTTTTGTCTGGATATCAAAACAGTGCTCGAATTCATTCCTATACAAACATTTTTAAACTAATTATGACGTTTGTTTTCATCAACATAATATTTCTACAGGTAGGTACCTACTATCAAAATTAACAATAATTAATACAGACATGAGATAGTACATAAATTATGTGTTCAAAAAGTTTGGAAATGCTTTAATTACTGTTTGTGTATTTTAATACATACACAGCAAAATAACATATAACACTGCTACACCTTTGTAAGGTAACATTTTTAATAAACTTATTAATTATAGTATCATATTATCGTTTATCAGTCCCATTAAATCTAATAACTATTACCAAACTTTTTAAACACTTTGTATATTCCTCTTTTATGGGAATACTGTGAATTTCTTAAAACCCCTTTAAATATTTAGTTACACTAGACCCACCCTCCCTCCAAAAAAAAAAAAAAAATAAAGGAATTTTTTTCAAGTGAAATTGGTATAGGTCGTCACAGTTAGAATTTATTTACACGAAATGGGGCAAATATGGGCAACATTTTTTTTAACAAGGTAATAGAATACTCTATTAAGTATTATAATATTTTGCACTTAAATTATGTATCATTTTCGTGATACAAATATATTATTATTATTATTATTATTAGTTATCTAGGTAAATATTATGTATAACTCGGTAAAACGTTACGTAACTTCCTGTAGCTAATGGTTCCATAATAAATTGAATTGAATACACAAACAATCGCTAAGTTACAGAAAAAAAACTAAAATGTAAAATAATATTATTCTGTTGGATTTACACTGTAACACTGTGGACTTATATTACGACTGCTGTAACTAAATCAATTTAAGCCACAACACGTGCACTAAACCAGTAAACTATGCAGTATGAACTCCATGCTATTTTTGGCAGCTTTCGAGGTCAATTGCCCCACTGTGCGGCGGTCCGATTATGTGGTATTTTTGTCCAGGGTAATCGCGTGTTTACGTTGTCGGGTGGTGGTGCTGGGCGGTGGTGGTGAGACCCTCTCGCGCTCCTGCGTTCCTACCTAATGCCTACCTATGTCGTGTGTGTTTGGAACTTCGCGCGCGGTGTGGTCGGTGCGTCCGTAAGTCGGGCGGAGCGGCCGGTCGTTACGTCCTTTAGGGTTATGCAATATATTACGTAACGCCGATTTTTCCGTTAACGCCTGCAAACCACGTTTTTGTCGGCTCGCGTTGCGGACTTTTTTCCAAACCACGCAACGGGGGTTATTTGATGGTGGTAGTATGGGGTAAGTTAACGGAAAAAGAAAATTTTCACTTACCGGTGATTCCTGTTCGGGGAGCCAATTTGATGCGGATCTGTGGGGTGCCACGTGGATGTTGGGTGAAGGTGACCAAACAAAAAGAAAAACACAACAAGACGACGCACTAGTGTAGTTTAGGTTTTTATTTGTGGTGAAGTCATACAATAAAATTGCTAAACGGTATCAATAAACAACTATAGAAGTTGTGGTTTTTCTCGCGGGGACGTGTGTAGAGATCTGTGTCCGGGTCGCTGAGAAAAACAAGTGACTTGTTCGAGCCGGTTCGCCAAACGGCCGGTCGACGTTTCCAGGCGCGGATGTCGCGCGCCGGCGTCGTCCGTCGTCGATTCGGCGGTTTGATTGAGAAGCCACGGCGCGGCTTCCGCGCAAAGGCTGTTTGAATTCAAACAGATTTTGCGCGGGACCGCGTCAACAGGATCTTTCTGAACATCAACACGTTGATCATTATTATTTATGTAAATTATATCCCACCAAAAACATATATGTAAAATGAGAGCCAAGTTCAATACTATAATATATGCCTTGGTTGTTGACTTCAACGACAAAAGAAGTGAGATCTAAATGGGTGCCAAGTTAGGATAATATATTGAAGCCTAAGGTGTGACTTGGCTACTTTTCATATACGAATTATTATTATAAGTACCTACTAAAACAGTAATGGAAGAGTGAAGATGATTTTCCGAAGAATAAAATAAGAACTCAAAGCTTTAGAACTTGCAAATGCTATAATATATAATTGGTAGCCAAGTCAGACCTTAGGCTTCAATATATTATCCTAACTTGGCACCCATTTAGATCTCACTTCTTTTGTCGTTGAAGTCAACAACCAAGGCATATATTATAGTATTGAACTTGGCTCTCATTTTACATATATGTTTTTGGTGGGATATCATTACTTTTTGTATGTAAATTATTATAACCGAACCTAACCTAGCCATGACGTATGCTATAAATAAAGTTTATTACTATATAATATAATTCAGTTACTAATATTAATAATAATATTTATTATAAAATATTTTCCGTTGTATATACAGAGTATAAAATATATGTAAAATTAATATACAATTATTTTAACTCTTTTTGAGTATATTTTTAATTATCATAATTTTATTGACTGTAGTTTCTACTGTTGGGTGGATAATTCATAATTTGTAAGAATAATTATTTAATTATTTTAAATGTAATATTTAAAAAAAATAATATTAAATACATACATAGATAGAAAAAAAAAGTATGTTGCTGCGCGCGGGTCGACAATATCGACACATATTCGGCTAGTCGTATTTTTGGAGCGGCGATACGGGAAAGGTAATTTAAGTCAACATTACATTACATTAAATTAGAGGCAATTCATTAACAAATTGAAAAATTAAACATAATAGATAAAATAATTGAAAAATTATAATAAAATCAATTGATTAAAAAATTTAAAATTTAAAATTTTCAAGTTTCTGATTTTTTCCTTTGTATTTACCTAACTACCTACCTGTATGCCAAATTTGAATTTTCTAGGTCATCTGGAACTGGGTTAGAATTTTGATCTATAGGTAAGTCAGTGATAGGGCGGCGGACTCCGGTCGGCCCGCGAAAAGGTTACGTCACCCTGCGTAAAATGTAAATGTTATGTAATTTATATGTCATGTATAGAGGGGGGGTAAGTCGGGGAAATGTCCCGTCTACCCCCCACGTATGTATAGTAATTATTTGTTATCCAAATAAACGATGGCGGCGTCGCGGCAGTAATGCGCAAGCAATTCCCGCGACGTCGTCGGTTCAAAACGAAAAAAAAAAAAAAAAAAAAGGTAAGTCAGTGATAAAAATGACGATTTTCGGACGTTAATATCTAAATAACGGTTTGAAGTGTGTTTATGAAATTTAGAGCACATATGCATCTCGTTAGTCTCAATATATGAGCCAAATTTGACATGTTTATGTGGAATAGTTTTTGAGTTATGAGGGGGTCAAAAGTGGCTCCAAATGGTTCGTGTAATATTACACACGGTGCTGCTCGCCAGTTCTGTTAGCTAGAACTTGGCTTGACACGCTACCGCGTGTCTAGATTCCCAGCATTAGTATTGACATTTTTGGCTCCTGTTAATTCATTAATTAAGTTCCATGTTAATTTAGGACTTCCAGCCACCTTAGAAAATTTATCCTTATACAGTTTAATTTTAGCTGCCTTTATTAGACATGCCAATTTATTTCTATATATTTTATAATATAATAGCAAATTCGTGTTCTCTGGGTGCTTTTTAACCTTTTTTGATAATTCATGCTTTTTTCGTGTGGATTTGAGCAAACCTACAGTCATCCATTCCTTGATTCTTTTGTTTTTTGAATAACTTTCTCCAGACTACTGGCTTTCTCAATTGAATTTAATATTATTTCATAAAAAAAATCAACACATTTATCTATATTTGAAGTATTATAAACATCGTCCCACTTTTCATCTTTTAAATTGTCACCCAATACTTCATGATTAATTTTTCTATAAGTAGAATGCTCTTTCTTACTATTATATATTGGCAAAGTCATTATTAAAGAAAAGTGATCAGAAATTTGTGTTTGTATAACACCTGCTTCAGTGAATCTAGAATTTCTTGTGGGGCTTTAATGAAAATATGATCTAAACACGAGCATGCTGGAATACGTGTAAGAATGTTTACAAACGATTTAAAACCATAGTGTCTAAATACTCGTTATCTACCTTTCCTCTGATATCGATATTCAAATCACCTATAACTATTGTGCATTCGTTTACGGTTTCCAAGTCATTAAATATATTACGCAACCTATCAATAAATAGATTACAGTAGCTTGAAGGTGAACGGTATATATGTTACGGGTAAAGTTCAAAATATGATTAGTGTTCATATTATCCGGGTAATGTGTACACTACCTGTACCTATTGGATAAAGTAAAAATACTATTTATAAAACGTTTATTTCGTACTTTACTCGGGTATTTTACACATTATCTACGACTGAGTGGGTAAAGTACTTTGATAAAATGTATACGATAAAATAACGATTGTAGATAAATGTTTATGAAGAAACACACGCAATAATATTTAGTACGGTGCTAGTTCGTCTTAATACACGCGTCGTACATATAATAGGTTTTTAAAATGACTTCACGCGAAAAATTTTATGAGTGTTTTTATAAATTAGTTAATTAAAAAAATAATAATTCAGTTTATTTATCGGCAGTAAAGTATAATGAAATAGTTTCGGAAATTAAAAACGTGAGATCAAGTGGAATAAAAAGTAACAAGGCATATCGAATTTTGAAAAGATACGACCTAATTACTATTGGAGAAGAAAATAAATTAATATTGCCGTTGTTGGAAGGTAATACAAACATTTTGTACTATATTACTAATGAAAATATCTATGATGTGCTACACGGTGTACATTTGAGTATTGGGCATGGTGGAAAACACCGCATGAATGCTGAAGTTAAAAAAAAGTATAAAAATATAACACAAGAAGCAGTGTCTATTTACTTAAATTTTTGCGAATCTTGTCAATCTAAACAAAAATCTAAAAACAAGGGTCTAGTGATTAAACCAATGGTGTTTTCGGAAATGAATATTAGGTGCCAAGTAGACCTGATTGATATGCAGTCGCAGGGGATGGAGAGTTAAGGTTTATTATGGTATATCAGGATCAATTTACTAAATTCGTTCAACTAAGACCCTTAAAAACAAAGAGAGCAGAAGTCGCAAA